TTGTACTTAGCTTTTTTTATCCTCACTTATTGAGAGAACATCATGTACATTATGTCCTAACGGCTTAGGCAAATTTCCAAAATAAAAATATAGTTATTATTTGAAATAAAAGCATTTCAATACTTTTTTTATACATACGTACATATTGCGAGAGGTTCCGCTTCTTTTTTAAATAAAAATACTTTAAATAAAATATATCCTTCGGGTCAAACGCTTTGATGTACATTATATCCTGAAGACTTAGGCAAATATCCAAAATAAAAATACCGTTATTGTTTGAAATAAAAGAATTTCAATACTTTTTTTTATACATACGTACATTTTGCGAGAGATTCCGCATCTTTTTTTAAATAAAAATCCTATAAATAAAATATATCTTTAGGGTCAAACGCTTTTAGAGAACATTATGTACATTATGTCCTAAAGGCTTAGGCAAATATCCAAAATAAAAATACCTTTATTGTTTGAAACAAAAGAATTTCAATACTTTTTTTATACATACGTACATTTTGCGAGAGATTCCGCATCTTTTTTTAAATAAAAATCCTATAAATAAAATATATCTTTAGGGTCAAACGCTTTTAGAGAACATTATGTACATTATGTCCTAACGGCTTAGGCAAATTTCCAAAATAAAAATATAGTTATTGTTTGAAATAAAAGCACTTCAATACTTTTTTTATACATACGTACATTTTGCGAGAGGTTCCGCTTCTTTTTTAAATAAAAATACTTTAAATAAAATATATCCTTCGGGTCAAACGCTTTGATGTACATTATATCCTGAAGACTTAGGCAAATATCCAAAATAAAAATACCTTTATTGTTTGAAATAAAAGAATTTCAATACTTTTTTTATACATACGTACATTTTGCGAGAGATTCCGCATCTTTTTTTTAAATAAAAATCCTATTAATAAAATATATCTTTAGGGTCAAACGCTTTTAGAGAACATTATGTACATTATGTCCTAAAGGCTTAGGCAAATATCCAATATAAAAATAACTTTATTGTTTGTTTGAAATTTGAAATTTCAATACTTTTTTTTATACATCTATACATTTTGCGAGAGATTCCGCATCTTTTTTTAAATAAAAATCCTATAAATAAAATATATCTTTAGGGTCAAACGCTTTTAGAGAACATTATGTACATTATGTCCTAAAGGCTTAGGCAAATATCCAAAATAAAAATACCTTTATTGTTTGAAATAAAAGAATTTCAATACTTTTTTTATACATACGTACATTTTGCGAGAGATTCCGCATCTTTTTTTAAATAAAAATCCTATAAATAAAATATATCTTTAGGGTCAAACGCTTTTAGAGAACATTATGTACATTATGTCCTAAAGCTTAGGCAAATATCCAATATAAAAATACCTTTATTGTTTGTTTGAAATTTGAAATTTCAATACTTTTTTTTATACATCTGTACATTTTTCGAGAGATTCCGTTTCTTTTTTTTTTAATAAAAATATTATACCTAAAATATATCCGTACGGTTAAACGCTTTTCGTACTTAATTTTTTTTATCTTCACTTATTGAGAGAACATCATGTACATTATGTCCTAACAGCTTATATCCAAAATAAAAATACCTTTATTGTTTGAATTAAAAGCATTTCAATAATTTTTTTTATGCATATGTACATTTTGTGAGAAATTCCGCTTCTTTTTTTTTTTAAATACTATAAATAAAATACATCCTTAGGGTCAAACGCGTTTTTTACTTAACTTTTTTTATCCTCACTTATCGAGAGAACATTATGCACATTATGTCCTAACAGCTTAGACAAATATCCAATATAAAAATACCTATATTGTTTGAAATAAAAGCATTTCAATACATTTTTTTATACATATGTACATTTTGCGAGAGATTCCGCTTCGTCTTAAATCTTTTCTTGTCTGGTTCTCGGCTAGGGGTTCTGTTTTTCCTTGTACTTTTCTTCGCTCGCTTCAATCGTAGGCCAAACTTTCATTCCATTTATTTGACATCATTCGATGTATTGGTCATTTTCGAACTCACCGCAGTGGAATATCTACTTTAAGAGATCCGTAAGGGCGAACAATAACACATTTCCGACTCGAACGGCATCGTACTTGCGAACGTTGAAGCTCGGGCACCGAAATCCCGACCTTCCTCAATGCCTCGGAGCAAGTGTGACGCCGCCAGCTTCTTTTCGCGCGGATTTGAAACTTATTTTTCAATTTCCGAACGCAAACGTCTCCGAAACTTTACACGGCGCGCTCAAAGAGAGAATTACCGACGTTTTCAAGCCGGTCTAATAAAAGCGGGGTGCAGTTTTAAGGAGGACGATTCGTCCCTGTCATTTTGCAGGTCCTCATCTATCTCCCAACTCGGTTGGTTTTATCCTCCCCTTTGCTTCTATGCTATTCCAGTAGATTGCAGGGGATTTCGCAAAAATCAAGTGGAATTTCAAGAATTCCCGGGAATTTCAACGAAACTCGGAGAAATTCCGAAAAAATCAATTGGCTTCAAGGAATTCGCAAAAAAATCTAGTTTAATTCTGAATAATCAAGTGGAATTTCAAAAATTCCCAGGAATTTCAAAGAAACTCGAAGAAATTCCGAAAAGATCAATTGGCTCCAAGGAATTGGCAAAAAATTCTAGTTTAATTCTAAATAATCAAGTGGAATTTCAAAAATTCCCAGGAATTTCAAAGAAACTCGAAGAAATTCCGAAAAGGTCAATTGGCTCCAAGGAATTCGCAAAAAATTCTAGTTTAATTCTAAATAATCAAGTGGAATTTCAACAATTGCCAGGAATTTCAAAGAAACTTGAAGAAATTCCGAGAAGATCAATTGGCTCCAAGGAATTCGCAAAAAATTCTAGTTTAATTCTAAATAATCAAGTGGAATTTCAAAAATTCCCAAGAATTTCAAAGAAACTCGAAGAAATTCCGAAAAGATCAATTGGCTCCAAGGAATTGGCAAAAAATTCTAGTTTAATTCTAAATAATCAAGTGGAATTTCAAAAATTCCCAGGAATTTCAAAGAAACTCGAAGAAATTCCGAAAAGGTCAATTGGCTCCAAGGAATTCGCAAAAAATTCTAGTTTAATTCTAAATAATCAAGTGGAATTTCAAAAATTCCCAGGAATTTCAAAGAAACTCGAAGAAATTCCGAAAAGGTCAATTGGCTCCAAGGAATTCGCAAAAAATTCTAGTTTAATTCTAAATAATCAAGTGGAATTTCAACAATTGCCAGGAATTTCAAAGAAACTTGAAGAAATTCCGAGAAGATCAATTGGCTCCAAGGAATTCGCAAAAAATTCTAGTTTAATTCTAAATAATCTAGTGGAATTTCAAAAATTCCCAAGAATTTCAAAGAAACTTGAAGAAATTCCGAAAAGATCAATTGGCTCCAAGGAATTGGCAAAAAATTCTAGTTTAATTCTAAATAATCAAGTGGAATTTCAAAAATTCCCAGGAATTTCAAAGAAACTCGAAGAAATTCCGAAAAGGTCAATTGGCTCCAAGGAATTCGCAAAAAATTCTAGTTTAATTCTAAATATTCAAGTGGAATTTCAACAATTGCCAGGAATTTCAAAGAAACTCGAAGAAATTCCGAGAAGATCAATTGGCTCCAAGGAATTCGCAAAAAATTCTAGTTTAATTCTAAATAATCAAGTGGAATTTCAAAAATTCCCAGGAATTTCAAAGAAACTCGAAGAAATTCCGAAAAGATCAATTGGCTCCAAGGAATTCGCAAAAAATTCTAGTTTAATTCTAAATAATTCCTATCAATAGCGAAAAAATAAACGAGAATTCCAAGTGGTCTAATAAATTTTGTAAAAATCAAGTGTAATTCCAAGAAATTCGAAGATGTTAAATCAATCAAATCAATTAAAATCAAGCTCAGTTCAAGGAATTCCAAGAAATCTGGAGAGAACTAACCGTAATTTCAAGAAATTCAAGTCTAATTGTAAATAATTCCAAGGAATTCCAAGGAATCTCGAAAAATTCTATCGGAAATTACAGAAATTCCAAGGTATTTGAAGAAATTCCGAGAAAAATTAATAGTTGCAAAGGAATACAACTGACGTGGAAAACTTTAGATATGCTTAAAATCTGTAATCGACCTACTTCGGAATTACTACTTTACTATATTCTTCTAGAGAAAATTTTCAACTTAACGCTAAAAAGTGCAGTGTAATGTTCTTTTCTCCTAAACCTAACATTGAACAAGTATCCAAAATTAACCCATATTATCCCAAGCATATAAAAAAAATAAAAAAACACTTTTTTGCTCTGAAATGATTTATTTTATTGCACTTAAGAATACATCGCACATCCCAAAGAAAACTGTATTAAGTGCCTAATTAACAATTTTATAGGAGGAGTATTTAAAGAATTGATATAACACATTTTGTTATTATAATAATTAATTATTATTAATAATCAATTATAATAAGTATTTACAAAATATAAAATGATATTTCGGTCACGTTTTCAAAAACCCCAAAAAACTTTGATTTTGTTTCTCCAAAAAATATAATCTATTTTTTTCCGAATTGTCGTGAATTAAAACATACAAATGGCTCAAAAAGGCATTTATTTCTAGGCATTATTAACATTTAGGTTAACACGATCTTAAAATTTAATTTAAAAGTCATAAAAAAACATTTTCAAAAAACCATTAAAACGGAGGCTCGTAGAAATGGAATCTTAAATCCTTTTTTTTGTTCTCATCAATTGGGCGTTTTGAATTATACGCTTTTTTAAGTTTGAGTTCTGCTGGCAAAGAAGATGCCGCAGATCTAGATTTTCTCGTTATTTTTTTTTGTTTTGACATTGTCACACTTCCATTGGCTATCCGAATATGACTGTTTAAAAAAAAACATGAAAGGCTGTTGCTTTTCTACTTTTACAATTTTAATCTGGGATAAGTAGACCTGTTCATGTTCAACATTTTTATCGAAATTATTACCAATATCTGTTGTTAATTGTTTGACAGCTATAAAGTCTTTGTGTGCCAATTCTTCTCTTCCTTTAAGTTTCGAGAACAGTTTTCCGGCAATTTATGAGAAATGCTCTTTTATCTTGAGCACTTGTACAGCATACATTAAGAGAGCAATCATGTATCTGAAACAAAATAAACACCGTTTAATGTTTATTTGTTCACAAAATTAAAAGTATTTACTTGTTTTTATTTTGAGCTCCGCGGTTATCACTTCAGGTCTTCGTTATTGACGGTATTTGCCTTCTGTTCTAAGTACTTAAAAATGCAAGACGTTACTTCAGTAGCACCAGGAGCAAAGGAGGAACCTTTCTCTTTTAAGTTAAGAAAAATTTAACTATTTTACTGTAAAAATGTATTAAGAACTTATACCACCTTTTTCAAATTTAAAATTTCATATTATAAAAAAATTATTTGATAAAAAAGGCATCAATCTAGGATAATACTACCCACACGCGAACATAATTGAAGAATAACGCATTATCCTCATATAATACACCTATCCATAAAAGAAAAATAGAATTTTCTTACCTTGACAATTGAAGGAAAAGCGTATCAAAAACAAATAATACGCTTTTCTTCGAAAAATTATAACAAATTTTCTTTCACTTTTCTTCGGAAAATCAGAAAATCCGGCGTAGTACGCCGAAATAATACTGTTTTCAACGTGAGACCAACACAATGTTGACAATATGACGTTTTACCTAGCGCCATCTAGTGCATAAAACGTAAAATGATAGCTTTGTAGGCTTGTTAGGGTAAAGTAGAACCCTAAAAAGTGTTGTTTTTGACAAAACATGAAAAATTGTAATTTTAATACTTAATACGGATTTCTCGTGCGACATTACATGTGTCAAAAAAAAAATAACAACTCGAAACATACAAAAAAATACTGGTGCGTAAACGAACCACTGGAAAAAAACATTAAATAATGTTTTGGGGCACATAAGATGTAACATATAATTTATACAAAAATATAGAAAAGAAAGTTCAGATTCGACAGAAAACAACTAAAAGTAGATTGTTTTCCAAATAGAACCTGATTTGATACAAAAAAACCCATAATAATTTATGGTGGGTGAGCGCACCACTGGTAACACCAGGTTTCATTTTTGGTGATATTTTACAAAGCATGAAGTATGTAAATGCACATTACACTTATTACGAACGTAAATTGTGTGGCTGTGGCAGATTCTACATCTCCTTCGGGCTTTATTAGCATGAACAATCATGAGGTGACCTCGATTATCATAACGCACTTCATCTGCGGCAGGTGCAAGATTTCTTTGAGTAATTGTTTTATCAGTTCGTAGTCAAAAAACGTTATTTTTGTAAAATACGTGGTGTTGATTACATTTCAAAAATTAATACGGAAAGGTCTCAAAAAATATTTTAAAATGGTCGCCGATGAACTGTCCGAAGTATTCGACGAAGATGTTTAAGAAAAAAAAAAGATTAAGACGTTAACAACGTTGACGTGAGAAATGACGCCTCTAATCCTTCTACTTTCAACGACTGCGAAATTGCTAATTTAAGCACGACCCGAAGTTCGTAATTAAAATTAATGAGTTCTGTCCCGGGTTATATATATTTTTTTCTCTCTCCTTAAAGTGAGTTAAAAAGTTAAATTCAAGTCCTAATCCATATCAATTAAGGCGCTCTCCAAAAAATCCCCAAATATCTTTTTCCGTTTCATTTGACGCCTTCGTAATTCGACGGTGATCGTTGAAAAATTATTTGGCAGTGAGACTTTTCGATATACAACGTGAAGCATATTGTTGGCGACATCTGAACTTGTTCGATGTTATCATGAATATTAAAAAGAGTAAAATCAAAAAGCTATTTTGAAAATTACGTTATACGTATCTTGAAACTACTTAAATATTTTTAAATTTTAAATTGTTGTGAAGGAAAGTCCTTACCATTCAACTCTTAAGTTTACATAGGGACGTTATGTTAAAGTATAGATACAAGCAGAACCTCTGGTGATTCCGCGATATTTTTTTTATTTATTTACACGGATTAGGTATTGTTTGTACGAATTTTGATTTCTAAAAAAACAATTTTCGGGGTCTTTTAGATTTTCGTTCACAACTAAAATACCTTGTATATAATCGAAAAAATGCGTGAAACAAAAGTTATAACACGTAATTGGATGAATGGCTTTGGAGGAAAAGATGTTTTTCTGGATACCAAAATAACCACAAAAAAAATCAAAAATTAAAAAAAAATACTTCGTGTTATTTAATTGCTCCTAATTTAAAGAGTCTAAATGCGGGTCCAGACTTCTACTTCTCTCCCAAGTCTGATGTCGGTAGCTGCAAATTTGGAGTAGTTATTATGTTTTTTAATATTGAACGGAATATCGCGAACACCCTGTACAATACTTAAAAACCGTAATCACAAAAGTTTAAGCTGTCCAAAAGAGACGCTGTAATCCAACCAAATAACACCAACTTTGTTTCTAATACTCTAAACCATATAGAGGTTGTTTATACAAAGCGCATTATATAAAAATGGTGGACATGTTGAAAACCCACTCTAGATTGTATATTTTGTTTTACCTTAGTTTTTATTTTAATTGTTACAGTTGCTGTTGTTTGTTGCTTTTACTTGTTACTGCTATTTGTTTTGAATTTTTAAACTTCTATCATAATACAAACAAAATTATACAGTACTATACAGTTTTATAGCGCATTGATACTAGTGACAGTGTCAATGTATGCTCGCAGTTGGATAGGCATGGCAATCGGAATGAGCGCTAAAGTTTCCTTTCGTTCTTTGTATCTCTAATAACTGGTAGTAGATATAGATGCAAGGAAGGGGCATCACTTTAAATTTTTTAAAAGAAGGTTGAAAATGGTCCCTATATCCTATATTGGCAACGACTCGAATGGCCCTTTTCTGCATTCTAAAAATCTCCACAGCAGCTGAGGAATCAACCCACAGCACCGTGCCATAGCATAAGTGCGAATGCAACAAAGAAAAATAGACCATAAGCAGAGTCCTCGAAGAACTAATATGCTGGTGGACAATCTATTTTTCAGGTCTGAGATATGTTATTCCCAATTTAGACTATCATCGAACCTAATGCCAAGCAACTTGACGGACTGTCCACTATTTACCAAGCAATTGGAGGAAAACACAATACTCTGGGTCTTGTCTAAATTTAATTTAACATAGTTATTCTCGAACCAAACATTACCCCTGTCCTCCAACATGAGAACCCTAACGGACAACTCCTCGACACTCTTAGCAGATGTAGTGAAGGATGTATCGTCGGCAAACATCACGCAGTGATTGGGGGCCAAGAAATGATAAAGGTCATTTATGTAGATTGTAAATAGTAGCGGGCCCACGACGGAACCCTGGGGCTCCCCGCTTACTACTGATTCAAGTGATGAACGGTCATTCTGGTATTCTACAATCAAATTACAAAAATATTCTACAAATTCTACAAAAAAGAAAGGTGAGTATGATACTCCAGTTTTTGATTGTGTGGCGGAAAAATTTTGTCATTTTAGGGTCGATATGGTATATCTTCAGGACTTCCAACAATCAACAGTGTGGAATGGAGTCAAAAGCCTTCTGCTAGTCCACATACGCCATGCAGAGAGAAAAATATGAAAAATACAAAATCACAAAATCTTTGTTCGCCGATGTATTAACATTTGCAACAATAATCCGTAGGAAAGAACTTGCAAGAAAGCACTACCAACTACGCAAAGAGTAAAGGGTTTCTATGTACTGCGGGGGTTATTTAGAAACCCGCCAAGTTTCGCGGGAAACAAGAAACGTCTTAATAGAAAAAGAGACGGCCCGGGGGCCGATCCCGCCGAACTTATTAAAAGTTTAGTTAAAACAGTTTGCGGGGCCCGGAGGCAAACCGCGGACGCGAGTCCGGCCCGGATCCCGGAGCAGGAAATTTTCTGGAAATTAACCGTTACTTGTCGCATTCTTTTTCGGTCCGATGCCCCCGCGGTGCGGGGATTAACAAATCATGCAAATTTTTATTAAAATTCCGGCGAAACTTTTCACTGTTGCCGACTTAATTGTGTTATCTTTGAAGGTTTCGACACGCGTCTCGACGGAAGCTCGACGTCGGGCGCTAATGAAATTTTTCGAAATAAATTAAGAAATCTTATTATTTGAGACCTCGCTAACGGTTTCTTTTTTTTTAACGATGGTGTGCAAATTATATTTTTATCAGAAAAAAACCATAACAATATCAACGTCGCCGAAAGTCTACACACAAGGGCTCAATAAGTACTTTGGCATGATGGTTTTTATTCTACAGACAATGCCTCATTTTTCAATACGAATGGAAGCATTTCTCATTATTTTCAGTATTTTTCCACCCAAAGCAATCCGCTTGTAGTTGTGAAAGCAGTCTTGCAAACGTATTAAATGATTTTTTCAAAGGTCTCTGATGATAACACGATTGCTGCCTTGGGTTTGCTTGATTTTAGCACAGCAAAGCATCAATCACAATACTTAACGAATCAACTTCCAGGTCTTCAGCTATTAACTGCTTCTTCTTCTTCTCATTATTTCTACGTTAAGTCCAATCACTTGTGTTTACTGGGTAATATTTAATCCTATTTGTGATTTTGATGACCAGCTATATTGCCATCTTTTTTGTGGTTTTCCATCTCTTGTGGTCGTTGCTAATCTGTGCTCTTCCATTCTCGTTACGTGTTGATTCCAATTTCTTCTTCTCTCTCGTCCCGTCCCCGTATATCTTGAATATTACATTGTTGCCAGATATCTTCGTTTCTTACATGGGTTCGTCTAGTCTTTGATATTATGCATCTTAATGTTTTCATTTCAGTTATTCTTAGAGCTTGTTTTGTTTTCTTCATATCGGCTCTGGTTTCTATGGCATACGTAAGTATTGGTCTTATACATGTTTTACAGATTCTTGTTTTCGTTTCTATTCATAGATGTTTATTTCTCCACATAAATCCCTTAATGTACCTGATATGGCTGCTGCTTTCGAATCGAATTTTCGAAGTATCTGCGCTCGTACAAAAATTTTATATCTCGGTAACGGGATCGCCGTTGGAACAGAAATGATCACCGTCGAAAAAAAAAAAATTTGTATGTTCTTCTTGAACCAGAAGAAGCAGAAGGTACGGCTCTATAAACTTTTATTCGTGATAATTTTTCAAGAATATACAGGGCGCGCCGCAAATTCAAAAAAACTGAAAAACGGGTACTCCTATTATTGAAAATTGGCAATAGTTTCAAATCTGTGTTTTAGGTGTCAGTTTCTTATACGTGACGATATAGCCCACAGGGTGCTCGCGATATTCCGTGCAATATTAAAAAACATAATAAGTACTCCAAATTTACATTACATACATAGGAGAACCCAGTGAAAAAGTTTCAAAACATTTGTCCAAATGTGGTTTAAAAGTCGCTTTCAGAACTAACAACACAATAGGAAAATTTTTCAAAAACAATAAAACGAAATGTCTAAAATCTCAAAAATCAGGTGTCTACAGGTTGAATTGCGGATCTTGTCCTAAAATTTATATTGGACAAACAGGTAGATCCTTCAAGAAACACATTAACGAACATAAAAGAACGTTAAAAACAACAGTCTATTATGCTACACACTTAAACACAGAAAAACACATTTTTGACTAC